GCTCTACATCCGAAATAAAACATTTCTTTTAATTAAGAATCAATCATAAAAATGTTGATAGTTTACGAAAGAAATTTCACATGGCATTTGTTGAAAATGATAAAAGATATTGATCAGTTGATTGTTTAATAATTTTATACATATTTTATCAATTTTTTTCTTGTACAAATGTTGTTTATATATATATATGTGTACTGGTTTAGTATTATATATTTACAATTAGATGATGATGTATACATGATCTCAATTTGTTAACACATATGAGATTTATCTTGTTAAAGATAAACTTCATTCATAAACCCATTTAACTATATAATCTCAAAGACTTAAAATGAGGAGAAAACAAGCTAAGACTAATATACTCACAGCTCTAAGTTGTTTCCTAAAAACATAACAAAGAAAACTCCATATTTTCGACGCCAGTAACAAAAATGCTCGTAGACCCATTTGCAGCTGCTTCAACATTTGGACTGTAGTGTTGTGTTTATTAGCAATACAATTTCAAAATTCATTCACTCATTTCGATCAAACAGACTTCAAAAAACATCAACCGCCATCGAGATCAACTGCGCATGCGATCGATATAGGAAGAAGTTTCGCGGGAGAAAAGTTTTCTTTTATTTTTATTACTTGAATTTTTTTTCTTTTTTTGTTTTATATATATATTATATATATACTTTATAGATCAGATACAAAAATAAATAAATAAAAAAATATATATATAGATACGAATGACGAGATAATCATTAATTTAATATCGATTGTTTCGATTAACCGCTATCAGTTATGATGAGTGAGTTATACAAATATCGAAGTTCGTGCGGTTAGTTTTTACCAATCAAAAATTAAAAACTAAAAAAAAAAATTACATACGTTTCTATATATACGTGAATTTATTATTATTAATTAAGAAATCATTTTATTTACCGGCGATTTATTCATTAGTATTAAAATTGCGATAAGTTTATATGTAATTATTTTATTTATTATTAATAATTAATAAATAATGTATACGTTTATTTAGATATTAATATATATAAATATGTATGTATTTTTTTAAATTTAATTAAAATTTCTATTTGACAAATAAAATGCTTAAA